AGTATTTGTGAAACTGGCCTCTTTGCTCCTATTCACCTGAAAAACAATAAGTAATATACAGAAGCCAACAACACTTTTGGCAGTAGAGAGGTAATATATTTCACTGTCAAACACACACCTTTACTCCAGGATTGCAGGGTATCTTTGAATATGAAAGTAGCCTTGCAGGTTCTAAATACGATCTCCAATGCAAGGAGAAAGGAAGGGTACAATTTCATCAAGAGTTCTGAAGTTCCAAAATTTGTATGAATTACATAATATTTGTCTAAGCTGTATAATCACAGAATGGCTTAGGTTGGAAGGGACCTAAAAGACCATCTAGTTCCCACTCCCCAGCCATAGGCAGGGTTGCCAAACACTAGATCAGGCTGCCCAGGACCCAACTCAACCTGGCCTTCAGAGATGAGGCATCCACAACTTCTATGGGCAACCTGTTCCAGTTCCAGCTTTTTACCCTCTGGGTAAGAAATTTCTTTCTAACATCTAACCTAAATCTACCCTCTTTTAGTTTAAAGCCATTTCTCCTTGTCCTTTTACCATCAGACCATGTAAAAAGCTGTACCCTTCCTGCTTGTAAGCTCCATTCAAGTACTGGAAGGCTGCAATGAGCTCTTCCCAGAGCCTTGTCTTCCCGCAACTAAACAAGTCCAGCTCAACCTTTCTTCATAGGAGACGCACTCCAGCTCTTTGTGGAACCAGCTCCAACAGCTCTGCATCCTTCCTGTACTGAGGGCCCCAGGCTTGGAAACATTATTCCATACAGGGCCTCACAAGGGCAGAGTAGAGGAGGAAAATCACCTCCCTCTACCTCCAACCCCCAGGTCGTTTTCCTCAGAACTTCTCTCAATGAGTTCCTCTCCCATTCGGTACTCATATCTGGGACTGCCTCAGCCCAGGTGTAACACTTTCCACTTGGCCTTGTTAAACCTCACTGGATTCTCATATGCCTACTTTTCAAGTGTCCAGGTCCTTCTGTATCGTGTCCCTTCCATCTATTACATCAGCTGCACCCCTCAGCTTATTGTCATCAGTATGAGTAATGACAACCTTCCCAAGATACAAAAATGTGTTTAATCATATGATAAAATATACTACATGTAACATGGCATTTTTTTTCTAGTTAGCACTGGCTTTCCACATTTAAGTAGACCCCTCTGTCACTCTGCATGCAGTTCCACTTGGTCTCCCATTTCCTTTGCGTTCTCCAACTAAACTGTAAGTGTCTCATTTACAGATGCATAAATGGAAGGGAAGCTCACTGAGCTCTAACATCCCTCCAGAAAGAAGGATGACTTTTGCCACTGTAATCTTCGAGTAAATTGCATAAAGCTGTTAACATTTTTATAGGTGACTGCATAATATTATTACATAAATGAATTTGACAGATTAATGTATTTTACACAACTTCCCTAGGAAACAATATAAGTAGTATCAATAAATGAAAAGCAAAGTACTTCATTATGTTTTATAATTTATAATTTATATTTATATTAAAATCTGTGACCCATCATAGTGTTGTAGACGTATAAACCAATTTTGAATGGCAAGCAGGTTGAAATAAATTTCTAAAAACTTTTCTCCTGGCATCTCACTGAAGTGGGAAGGACGACACAATAACCCTTGCCCCTTGGAGGTAATATCATGAATTGTACATTTCTTGAAACTGTACCCTGTCTTTTTTTTTGTTTTGTTTTTTTGTTTTTTTTTGTTTTTTCCCAAGAACGTCAATGAATTAACAATACCTAAATAAATCTTCCTTGAATAATTTAGTCAGCTTTAGTTGATGGCCTGATTCCAAACTCACAGAAGTTTTGTACTGACATAAGCAAAGGTTACGAAGGTAGTGTTCCCAATTTACAAAAACCTTCAGGTCTCATCTGGTATTTATTTACCTTGCAAAGCCTTACTCTTTTGGGTCTAGCACTACAAAACACTTCTGTACAGAAGGCATGGGAAGTTACTCTGATTTAACACTGAAACATCTTGATATTCATCACTGTCTGTGGGATTCACCTATTTGTCCTTACTCATGCAAGGAGAGTTTGGTTTTTTTAAAAAATCCCCTATGCAGTTAAGCCATTTTTACTGACTGGGAATTAAACACCTCTCTCCAATATTTTCAATCCAGAGAACAATACACTGACAAAATAAACTGCCTTAAAAATTATCTTTAGAAAAAGAATGAAACTAACTTCTTGGTTTTTACTTGTTCAAGTACTTAGGCAATGCTAAACAATGCTGAAAATATGTCCTGTTTATAACTGTAATGTAGTCTGTCAACCATTACTATTTCACTACTAACTTAAGTAAGGTCACTGTTATTGCTGTTGTTGCTTATATATATACAGTTTATTTAATTAGGAGGTTAACAGAAATCTTCTGCTTAATTTAAGCTTTATTCCTAATTTCTTCATGTTGTTGTGAATCTTTGTATCATTCATGTAGAGAGGAAGTAGCTTGGGATGTGAATGAGAGGAGGTAGTTGTCATCTGTAATGCAACTTGTCTCCTTCTAGCTGAAAGACTTTTTCTGGAGTTCCTGCTTTTGGGAGTTTATTGAGCCAAACCTCTGCTTAGTGAAGCAGGAAGTCCTAACTTGACACTTTAAAATCAGGAATTTTATTTATGATCTTGATCAACGTAAGAGTTGCTTCAAAGCTAAGCATTAAAACCCTGAAAACCCTGAAAATCGTTATGATTTTGATGGTTTTTTTTTTTTTTTTTTTTTTTTTTTTTAAATACTGACTGTTGGATTTGCCTTTTAATCCTCAGATAGCATTGCTTCCTTTCACTACTTCATACAGTGGACTCCCCTCCCAGGTTACTAGTGATAGAACCAGAGTTAATGGCTTCAAGTTGCACCAGAGGAGATTCTGGTTGTATGTTGGGAAAAATGCATTCCCTGAAAGAGTAGCCAAGCTTTGGAACACGCTGCCTAGGGAAGTGTTGGAGTCACCATCACTAAAGATGTTAAAAAAGAGTGTAGATGTGGCACTGAGGGACATGGATTAGTGGATACGGTGGTGATGGATTGATGGTTGGACTTGATCATCTTTGAGGTCTTTTTAATGGGTTTAAGACTTTAATGATTTTATGACTATGATTAAAATGTAAGAAGTTATTAATGTTTGTACAAAATATGTTTGAGAAGTTTAATGCAAATTGAGTTCAATGTTTTGGACTCCCGGCATGTTATCCTTCAGTATAGCTTTAATTACAGTATATTTGATGTAAGTTTGGTGTGCACTTGTGTCTTTAATTAGCATTGACATTAATTTGTTATTAAAATTGGCATCCAAGCACATCTGGAGTACAGTGGTGTTTTAAATAATTACTAATTACTTAGGGTGAGTTTCAACATCATGTTTTCCTGCTGCTTAAATAAAACACCAGCAGGCAATCATTGCAGGCATGGGAGTAGCTGTGCATCGAGGCTCTTGTCCCCAGCACTCTGCCATCAACATGCATGTTAAGATATGCCCTCGATTTTGAGTGTTATCAGTAAAATTATTCTGAGCACTACTTTTGGCTTCCAACCCCACTCCAACAATGCATCGATGAGACGGTAAACCCAATTCCAGGGCTCCAATTACTGCTTTAAAAAAAAATAATAAAAATACTGCAGCTACTTGGCCAAACACTGACATGCTAAAAACTTTTAAGATGTACTTAAAAAGTTGTCAGCAGGCTTGATGCTGGGATCAGGTGTTGACCTGACACTGGCTCATGCATCTGTAGAACAACGGAATGTGTACGGATCTGTGGAACAAAAGTGTCACGGAGGTGATGCACTCCCTTCCACACAGACCCAGATGGCACTTGTGGTGCTCAGTGGGTTGGTGGCACATGTAACTGCTGCACGGCCTGACTGAATTGGGTGGAATATCGCCTAACACCGACCCTTCCATGTCGGTTTAAAGCTTTATTTAGTCGCCGAGCAGAGGCCGTGGTGCTATCCCGTGGCAGCAGATCTGCTCCAACACGGGTGGGCAGGGAGCACCGTGCCCCAGAAGTTGCGCTCCTCTCTCTGCTGCGGTCCCACTGGGACACGGGGCCCGCAGTGAGGGGATCCTTCACAGTCGCTTCCAAGGGCTGTCCCGGCGGCTGAGGGAGAGGCGGGGAGAGAGAAAATGGCGGGAGAAAGAGGGGAGAAAAGTCTTCCTCCCCAGCAGCGAGGAGCCGCGTACCCCTTAGCCCCGGGGGACTCCCGGGAGGCGGAGAGGGAAGCTGCCCCACCGATAGCAGCCCAACCCCATCCCCCACACGCAGGCCCTCGCACTTCGTCGTTGCCTCCCCCACCGCGGCGGCGGCGGCGGCGGCGGCGGCGGCGGCAGGGCGGACAGAGCGCATGCGCGGCTCCGAAGCGCGTTTCCCCCCCCCCCCGTCCTCTCCTGCTCCATCCGGGTACCGCCGCATTAGCATGAAGAGCCGCCGCACAACTTTTTTTCCCCAGGCAAAGTGAAATCAAGGCGCGCGCGCGCCGCGAGGAAATATAGTCCCTCCCGTTCGCAGCCCCTCCTCTCCCCATTGGCGGCGGGGCGGCGGGGGGCGGTGGCACGGCGCGGGGCGGAGCGGGGGCGGTGGGAGGAAGGGGGGTGGGGGGGTCGAGGGGAGCGGGCGGGGGCGGCGGGGGGGGGGGCCCCCCTAGTTTGGCGGAAAGTGAGTGATGAGTCTGTGTCCCCAGCAAAGAAGCAACGAACTTGCTTTGCAGCCTGAGTAGTAGTTGTTTCTTTCGGTTGTTGTTGTCGCTTTTTTTTTTTTTTAATAGATTTTAT